GTACGAGACTCGAACCCGCAACCTTTGGGTTACGAGTCCGACTCTCTAACCATTAGGCCACGACTTCCCCATATACAGTTAGATCCATATATACTTGGACACTGACACAATTTTCATAATTTTGGCTCTGTATGCCACCAGAATAGAATTAAAAGAAAACAATCAAGTGCACAATTGAAGTGTATACTTTAAGCTTTAATTCGAGGGGTTGAACAAACATAATATGCTTAGGAATTACAACCATTTTTATACTCACTCCCCCTATTTTCAGGGGCTCAAATGTAATTGGACCAATAAATATAATCATAAATAAAATGTTCATTTTTAATATTGTGTTGGGAATCCTTTGCAGACAATGACTGCCTTAAGTCTGGAGCTCATGGACATCAGCAGAGACTGGGTTTCTCCTTTGGGATGCTTTGCCAGGTCTTTACTGCAGCTGACTTCAGTTGTTGTGTGTTTGTGGCTCTTTCTGCCTTTAGTTTTGAAAAAAAAGTGAGTAAAGTGATGTGATGTGTGGCCAAGTATGGTGACCCATACTCGGAATTTGTGCTCTGCATTTAACCCATCCAAGTGCACACACCCAGTAGTGAACACACACACACACACACACACACACACCGTGAACACACACCCGGAGCAGTGCCCGGAGCGGTGGGCAGCCATATTGCTGCGGCGCCTGGGGAGCAATTGGGGGTTTACTTGCTCAAGGGTCTCACCTCAGTTGTGGTATTGTGGGTGGAAGAGAGCACTATACATTCCCTGCCCCCACCTACAATCCCTGCCGGACCTGAGACTCGAACCCACAACCTTGTCTTTAAAAAGTGGAATGCATGCTCGATCAGGCTGAGATCAGGTGATTGACTTGGCCATTGCAGAATATTCCACTTTTTTACCTTCAAAAACTTCTGGATTGTTTTTGCTGTATGTTTTGGGTCATTGTCCATTTGTACTATGTAGCGCAGTCCAATCAACTTTGCTGCATTTGACTGAATCTGGGCAGAGAGTATATCTCTATATACTTTATAATTCTTCTGGCTGCTTCTGTCTTCTGTCTCATCATCACTAAACACCAGTGACCCAGAGCCACTGAAGCCATGCACGCTCATGCATCACACTGCTCCATGCTTCACAGATGATGCTGTGTGCTTTGATCATGAGCTGCTCCAAGCCTTCTCCATATTTTTTTCCCGTCATTCTGGTACAGGTTGATCTTAATTTCAGCCGTCCAAAGAATGCTTTTCCAGAAGTGCTCTGGTTTTTTAGATGTTTTTTTGGCAAAGTCTAATCTGGCCTTGTTTGCAGCTTGTGGTGAAGCCTCTGCACTTGCTCTGGTGAAGTATTCTCTTGATTGTAGACTTTGACAGAGACTCGTCTGTCTCCTGGAGAGTGTTCTTCTCTTGGCTGGATGTTGTGAAAGGGTTTTTCTTTACCATGGAGAGGATCCTCAGATTATCCACCACTGTTGTCTTGTGTGGATGTCCAGGCCTTTTTATGTTGCTGAGTTCACCAGTGCGTTCTTGTTTTCTCAGAATGTACCAAACTGTTGATTTGGCTACTCCTAATGTGTCTGCTATCTCTCTGATGGATCTCTTTTGTTTTTGAAGCTAAACAATTGTCTGACATCTTCCAAATGCAACACTTAGAATCAACTCTAGAACTTTTACCTGCTCACCTGATGTAGAAATAACGAAGGAATAGCCCACAACTGTCCATGAGCTTTTGGGTCAATTGTCCAATTACTTTTGGTCCCTTGAAAAAGGGGGGAGGTACATATTAAAGGGCTGTAATCCCTTAACCTTTCCTCCACTTTTGATGAGTATACCCTCAAATTAAAGTTCAGAGTGTGCACTTTAAAGCTCATATGCATTATATAACTGTAACTTAAATATGTTTTGGTCAACAGCTAAAATAACAAAAAATTTGCCTGTGTCCAAATATACTGTATATGGACCTAACTGTATGTTGTTACATTGTGCTTACATTTAAAGTACCTTCATATAATTTAATACTACATTGTTGATGGTACCTCAATCATAAACCTGCCCATATTCCAACTTCAATAGCAGCAAATGAAAATCTGGCAAGAGACATACACAACAACACACATACACAATAAGTGCATTGCATCATAATTTAAAATGTATGTATATAATAGTTAAATATGCCTATATATAGTTAAGTGACACCATAAATTATACAATAAATGTAAATTAATATTTTAAAAGTTTTATTGAGAAAATAAATTTACATTAATAATTTAATTTATTCAAACACTACCACAATATAGACAAGAGAACATTCCATACAATATTCATCTGATTTTGTTTAGTATTACATATTAAGCCATGACCACCATTTAAATATGACACTGATGCATCTTTGCCCCATTTTTAAACTTGTGTAATGACTGATCTGAAGACCAAGACATTGATCAAGTCCCCTTGATTTTACACACAACTTTTAAGTGGTTAATGCAACAGTCCTTAGACCACTTATTTAGTGGGGTAAGATGATCTGCCATCTTTTTCTCTTGACAATAGATGCCACTATTTTCTCTTGACCATAGATTATCACTTTTGATGTATGGCTATTATATTTTTCATTTAGTCATTTTATGTGATATTATATATATATATTTTATTATATATATTATATGATATTATCATTTTTTACAGTGGCTGATCCATCATTTTTCTGCACATGCTAAACTTACATATAAATATGTTACAGTTTAAAAGTAAATGCACATTGTTCTTAAGGGGGGCATTTCCCCCATCTTCCCCTATATACACAATGTCTGTAGTCTTTGTTATGACAAACTTTGATATTGTTCCTCGTTGTTTATATGAATTATTTGATCAGTTTATCTCTGTCTATTTATGTTTGTGTAAACACAGGTTCATCAGTATTACAGCTTTTTCCCAGAGGATAAGGTTCCTTATGTCAACAGCATTGGTGAAAAGCATCGGATCAAGCAACTCCTTCAACAACTGCCACCGCATGACAATGAGGTCTGTTAGTACGGTCATGGCTCAAAGTTTTTAATACAAAAATGGATAACTACAGCAGATATCTAAACACTACAACTGGTTCAGTCCTAGACACATAGTTATGTGTTTTGATATCATCTTGAGTTCAACTTGTCTCTACGTATTTTAACACTAGACCAGAGGTCTTCAACCCTGCTCCTGGAGACCCACTGTCCTGCAGAATTTAGCACCAGCCTTAACCCTTGTGTGGTCTTTGGTCACTTCTGACTGGAGAATTTTATATTTTGAATTTTAAAAAATCATAGCTTCGTAGCTTCATCAGAATGGTACAAAATTTGGTGACTTTTATGGCACTTGGTATGTGAACACACAAAAAAAATTGAGGGCATGGTTCGAAAAAGCTAAGTGGTCATAAAAAATAGTTACACTCATTGTCTTCGGTCAAAAAAGACCGACCATAGGAAATGAATGGGAAATGGGAAAAATTTACAGCGAAAATACAGAACATTTTTGTGTGTACAATCTACAAATCCCCCACAATGCAGAAAAAAAATTGCACAACAATGAAGGGGTGAAACTCTAAAACATCTAGAGTGCAAAACCAACACACGTGCGGACACACACTTGTACACATACACACACACACACACCCAGTGCCGGCCCATCCAACAGGCGGTCGTCTGGGCCCCCTCCTTAAGGGGAGGGCCTCGCGGCTGCGAGGTTGTCAATTAAATTTCAAGATGTAAAGTCTTGACCAGGGGCGCATCAGGTACTCACGAGCGAGACTATGGGTGCTCCAGAGAGGGAACAAAATGTCAAAAACAAAAAGTGGATCCCATTGCAAGAAACAAAAATAATCCATGTCCAGGCACTCACATAGCAGGCAAAATATAAAAAAGCACACCTGTGCCTGCTATGTGAGTGCCTGGACATGGATTATTTTTGTTTCTTGCAATGGGATCCACTTTTTGTTTTTAAATTTCAAGATGTGTTTGACTTGAAGCGGCGTGGTGCAAACAGATCGGTGTTTGACATCGAAGTACCGCGAGAGCTATACACTAATGGACAGCTCTGCATGCTTTCCTATCCTATTGCAGTACTTTGATGTCAAACACTTATCGATCTGCAGCGGCCCTTTAAGTCAACACACATACAGATGACGCACCTGATGGTACAGTGCGTTTAAAAACATTTAATTATGTTTTTGCTCTAAATTAATTTCATCAGTCGAGTGTTTGAAATAACATCCTTTTGTGATCTGACGTGGTTTCATATCACAGAATGAGGCAAAATCATTTAATAATATTCTATACAGTGATAAAGGCTATGTCGATTAGCATTGCATTATAAATATATATTATGCAAATAAAAAATACCCGTGATGGCTTGAAGAACAGAGATACACCATTTAGTCACAATCGTGTGTTTATTTTCTTCATTCTTCATGAGTTAAAACGTCCTATCTGCGTTTTATTCAGCTACTGCAGCAATAGCATATGCCTTTGTCCATATTAGGGATTTCCTCCAACGTGATTTTTGTGAGTATTTCAATTTATGATTTTTTCATTTATGGTTTTACTGCACAAGGGCGCCCTCCGGCTACCAGTATGAATGAAGCAGCTGCAGCTACTCACTACGTCTTATTTTGGGTAAAAATAGGAAAAATACGTTTTCTGTAAACTATACTGAACAAAATTATAAACGCAACACTTTTGTTTTTGCCCCCATTTTTCATGAGCTGAACTCAAAGATCTAAGACTTTTTCTATGTACACAAAAGGCCTATTTCTCTCAAATATTGTTCACAAATGTGTCTAAATCTGTGTTAGTGAGCACTTCTCCTTTGCCGAGATAATCCATCCACCTCACAGGTGTGGCATATCAAGATGCTGACTAGACAGCATGATTATTGCACAGGTGTGCCTTAGGCTGGCCACAATAAAAGGCCACTCTAAAATGTGCAGTTTTATCACACAGCACAATGCCACAGGTGTCGCAAGTTTTGAGGGAGCGTGCAATTGGCATGCTGACTGCAGGAACGTCCACCAGAGCTGTTGCTCATTCATTCCGTGAATTGAATGTTCATTTCTCTACCATAAGCCATCTCCAAAGGCGTTTCAGAGAATTTGGCAGTACATCCAACCGGCCTCACAACCACAGACCACGTGTAACCACACCAGCCCAGGAACTCCACATCCAGCATCTTCACCGCCAAGATTGTCTGAGACCAGCCATCCGGACAGCTGCTGCAACAATCGGTTTGAATAACCAAAGAATGTCTGCACAAACTGTCAGAAACCGTCTCAGGGAAACTCATCTGCATGCTCGTCGTCCTCATCAGGGTCTCGATCTGACTGCAGTTCGTCGTCGTAACCGACTTGAGTGGGCAAATACTCACATTCGATGGCGTCTGGCACTT